AAATAATTTGCATGATATTCAAGTAAGAAAAAAAAATTCAATGCCAAGTGAGTCTCCCTCCTACTTCTGACTTCCAGTGTACCTTGTGAGATGCAACCATTAATATCTGTTCCTTTAGAATAATTGCTGCATTTACAGGTGTAGAATTTACTCATTTGCACCTCTTTTTTTTTTCACCCAGTGGCATATCGTAGAGCTGATTTTTTTTTATATGAGAATAGAGATTCTCATTTGTTTAAGTGACACATTCCCTGTTCATGTAGCTTAGATTTCAACTGACACCTGGAAGGCAGGATTTGGGCTACTGGACAATTAGTCTGGGCCACATCCTACTAGGCCTCGCCTCTCATGGTTCTAGGTGAGTTTTCTCTCTTCCCATCCTATTTTCACCACTCCTCCACAGCCAGCCTCAAAGGCGACAAGACATTTACAGACCTCCTTTGTCATTTTTCCGGTTCCCTTAGAAGATAAAATTTTAGGAAGCATCTTCTGCCTGGCTAAGTGATCACTAGATTCCAAGGGGGACTGGAAGGACAGTAGAAGACAGAGAGAACAGTAGAAGACAGACTGTAAAACAGTGCTCATGGCTGAGACCTACACTGCCCAATCCCATAGATGGGGGAGCCATGGGTTCTCACTCCACTTTAGAGTTAGAGGTGAGGGTTAGGGGCATAGCTCAGTGGTAGACCACTCGCCTAGCATGTGCAAGGCTCTGGGTTCCATTCCCTGCACTGCAAAGAAAATTTGTTTTCATAAATATGTTATTTGGCCCAATATATCCATAAGTCTCATCTCCACATATAGTCGATATTTTAAAATTATTAAGATGTTTCATGTTCTCTTTCTCATGCTAGTCTTTGAAAGTCGAGCAGTACTTTGCTCTTCCAGGGCCTCTCAACCTCAGCTGAGGTGGCCCAGCCACAGGCAGGGTCCCCAGTGGCCGTCTGTGGCAAGCGGTGGCCATATTGGACCCCACATCTCTGGACCATCCAACCTGAGCTCATCTGTATTTCAATTTTTCAGGCCTCTGTTTCGCTTTTTTGAATGAGGGAGCCAGACTGGAGGGCTCAAAGATTCCTCTCCAGCCTAATCTTTATCTGATTTTCACTCATAGGAAAGGGAAGCCGTAACAAACCAGGACAAACAGGTATCTCTTCAGTTGTAAAATGGGAATTACTAAATATGACCCCGATCCGTGTGTGCGTGAAAAGCACGGTGACAAGATGAAGTAGCACGTTGGGGAGGTAGAGGAAGGAGAGGTATAGTGTTGTGGTATCACCATGAGGGTTATGATTGACAATGGAGAACATTCAGAATCCACTCACTGAGCCCCAGGGCCATCTACACGCTCATTTAATATCTTTTTTTTTTTGGTACCAGGGATCGAACTCAGGACCTTGCATTTGTGAGGCAGGCGGTAGCACCACTGAGCTAAATCCCCAGCCCTCGTTTAATATCTTTTAACCTCATCCACCTTATCTGTCTGCAAGATAGGGATAAAAATGGCACTGAATTCATACAGTGACTATAAGAACTAAAAAAAAACACCCATGCCGAGGGCCTGGCACCAGGCTGAGCACACAGCCGATCCTCAACCACTCCAAAATGCTGTCATTCCAGCCCTCTGCCTGCAGAAATGAGGCCCTGGTGAGGAGTGGCGCACCCAAGGTCACACAGCAAGGAGGTAGTGTCAGCCGCCAGCCTATCTTGGCTCTTTCCTTCTCACTGGCAGTGATCCCGATAAGTCAGCCACTAATTTCCTCGCAGCAAGGTAAATGAAATAAATACACCCAAACCCGCTCAAGTACTCGAAAGAGGCTCGAGTCCAAGTATTGTTTCCATGGTATGTACTTTGGCATGCATGCTCATGCGACTTGTTTCAAATCCCGGCTCCAAAGGGTGGAGGCTGGCCTGGCAGGCTGTTCTGCCAGCTTCCGTCTCCTGTGGGCGCACCCGCCACCGTGGCCAGGGTGCAGGTCCTCAGTGTGATTTCCAGGGGTGGGTCCCCTTCTAGACCCTGCAGCGAGTCCCTTTGGCAGGTCTGTGAGGGAGCAGAGAGTGCATGGAATTAAGCCCCAAGAAGCCAAATCGTGCCGTGTTACATAACGATGACAGGCACCCGCGTTGCTGGACCGTGACTCTGTGACATTGCTAAGTTCTCTGCGTTTGCTTATTTCTCTGAATCCTGCCATTTTATTCAGCAAGATGGTTTTCCACGAATGATCCCATCTCACAGATAAGGAAACTGAGGTTCAGAGAAAATAACTCACCCAGAAACACACTGATAGAGGCAGGGGGACCTTTAAAAAGCTGGTAGCAGGAGGGTGATATGAGGAGGCCCGTGGAAACTGGATATTCGCAAACTGAGATAAGTAGGTGTCCCTGCCACAGCTTAATTTATGTATCGATCAAATGGGAATAGTTGAACCTGACCCTGGTCAGGACAAGGAAAAAATATGACAATGGATGAGGGCGTTGTTTGGGAGGGAAAATGAGAGAGAGGCAAGGTATTGTGGAACTGGAACTGTTATTAAGATTTTTTTTCCCAGTACCAGGGATCGAACTCAGGATCTTGCACTTGCCAGGCAAGCATGGCACCACTGAGCTGCATCCCTGGCCCTCTGATTAAGATTGTGATAGACAGTGGAAAGTGTTCAGAATCTGTAGGTCACACCTTTCTCTCTATGTGTCTGCCTGCCTGCCTGCCTGTCTACTCATGTGTATGTATCTCAGCAGTCCCTCCCTGGCCATTCTTAAGGTCTGAGGGGGGAATCATACCCTAGTTTCCCAGTACCAGCCAAGTGACCTGACTGATTCTAGCAGGCATAGGAAGCAGGCGGGAGAGAGGAAAAGAGAGGGAGAGGGAAAAGTAGGGGCTCAGAAATGCAGAGCATGGCAGGGGGAGACAGGCATCATAGAATGCTTGCTTTGCTTCTGTTTTCTTTTTTCTTAAGAAAAATACACCAAAATTCCAGTCTCTGTCCTTTGCTAAATTCTGGCCCAAGCCAACTTCTGAAAGAAAAGAGGTTAGGGTCTTTGCATCCTCAAGAATCTATCTTCAAGTCCATTCTTCCATGAAAACTCGGAGCACAGAGCCAAACTTGGACACCTGAGAGAGCTCTAGACGTCCCAGCTGTCCCTGGTCCCAACTAAGCAATGAGCATCCCAGGCTCAGTCCACAGAAGAAACAGGGCTTGGGGAGAGTTCAGGAAGCAAGGCGAAGGGCGCTGATCCTCCAAGTGAGTCAAGCCACAGTGTCCCAGGGGGCTTTCTGTGCACTCCAGAGCCCCTGCAGCAAGACGCTGAAAGACAGTCAGCTGGCTGGTACATGGGCCACACACAGCAGAGAAATGACACAGCGTGAGGGCGATGCATGAATACACAGAGAGAAACACACACACAGAGCGACGCCAGATGGAGACCGCAGGCCGGGCTGGGCCCGGGGATTCGTTATTCCCTCACCCACACAGAGGGGCTGGGGGAGTTACATAATGCAAGCTGCAGAGAAGCTACCCACCCTCCCTTAAGGGGATCTAGGAGGTGGCACCTCCTTTAGGGGGCTGGGAAGGGTCTCTGCACCCACCCCCTGCTCTCAGCGGCAGTAGGAGCTTGTCAACCGCCTTGGCCCTGGGGTGCCCCCAGGGAAGTCACTAAAAGGGAAATAAAGGAGTGTCGGTTTGTGAGCCGCAGCAGATGGAGGCTCCCTCCTCATGCTGAAGCCTGGTGGGGGTGCTCACAGGAAAGGCTGGGGACAGAGGTGGAACCGGGACTGGGAGGGAGGGTAGAGAAAGAGATGAAGGGGCTCTCTGATGTCCCCCAACCTCAGGTCACCTGCCCCAGCCCAGATGCACCAGATACTACAGAACCGGCCATGAGCCCAGCTCCTTGTGCACGCACCCTTCTGGGTGCACAGGGGTTCTCCAGTGGGGCCCCGGTTGGCCTCAGGTGTCCCGGCCACACCCCATATCCCTGGCCTGGGGAAATAAATGGCTTGAGAATTGATTGCATTTCAAGAAGCAAAGTTAGGAGTTGAGAAAATAAGTAGACTATCAATTTAAAATAACTAGTGCCTAAGTTTGAAGGCTCATACACAAGAGTGGAGCTGACTCGATTCCAGATCTTCTGTCGTTCTTTACCGACTGACCTTGGAACTAAGCTTTCCCGGCTCCGATCTCCATGTCTGCTGAGAGGTTACTGTAAAGATTAAAAGGGAGGAAAATATATAATAATAAGTGCTCAATAACTGTCTATATGCTTATTCTTTTTCTTCTTCAATCAACAAAGAACTGCCTGCTGTCTGTGTGGGCCAGCCCTACAGGTACAAAGTTGGCTCTTCCAAATGTTTGTCCATCAGGGTTCCGGATGGTTTGTGGGGTAAAAATGTCTTCCAAAGTCTGTAATGCACTCACCTCTTCAGTGTTGATAACGGTTGCAATGTGACCAAGTCTATATTTTTGAACTTGAAGCGGGCTCGTCATGGCAAAAATGGTCATGAAGGCCAACTGCAATCCCCATCCACAGATCCGTGGAAGGTGGCATCATTCTTATCCCAGGGAGGTTGTTGTGGGGGTCCTGGAGGTGGCCAGAATGGGGAGCTCAAAGATCAGACCAGCTGAGTTCCTGAACAGAAAAAGTTTGCTTGACAAATTGGTATGGTGACTTCTGCAGTGGGGGAGAGGTAAGAAAGGTCTTGTGATTGTTATCACCTGGTTTCTGGGGCTGCCAATCCACGGTTTCCCAGGAGACCCTTTGGTCTCTGAGGGTTCTGTTCACGGAGATACAAGTAGGCAGTGTGTAGCTGGGAAAGGTGTCACCGCGAGGAAGGAGGATTTTATTTCCAGGTTGGCTTCAAACTTCCAAGTGTCTTGTGGCTCCCTTTGTCAGCTGGCTGCATTTTCCACGTTAGTTTTGAAGGTGTGGTTGGATGTTCTACTTCAATCTCTCTCTCTCTTTTCCCCCCTTCTTTTCCTCCCCTCCCTTGTTCTTCTTCTCACCTCCAGAAGCCCCAGATCTCATCTGCATCTAACAGACCGGTGACCAGGATGCCCAGAGAATTGTCCACATCGCTCATGCGTCACTACTAGACACATCCACCAGACACTCCTCCTCCCCAGTCTGCCTGACCTGTTGCTTAGGGACACGTCCCACTGCTTCTCCTGACATCTGCCTGATCAACCATCACTTCCTACAGGACAGGAAGGAAGCAGACGCATGAAATCACGCCACCATCGGCCAAATGGCAATGAACGGTGACGCTGAGTTGACGTCAAAGACAGAGGACTGAGACATCTGCAGCCCCTGTCTCCCCTGCTCTTCTCCCAGCACAGCCTGAAGCCCAGCGCCTCCTGTGAAATCATCTTGCCTTGATTCATTTCGAGGTCTTCAGCCGGGACTTTCGGACAGAGGACACCATGGAAGATCACGTGTTTGGTGTTCAGCAGATCCAACCCAATGTCATTTCTGTCCGCCTCTTCAAGCGCAAAGTCGGGGGCCTGGGGTTCCTGGTAAAGGAGCGGGTCAACAAGCCACCCGTGATCATCTCTGATCTGATTCGAGGCGGGGCCGCCGAGCAGAGTGGACTCATCCAGGCCGGAGACATCATTCTTGCAGTCAATGGCCGGCCCTTGGTGGACTTGAGCTACGACAGTGCCCTGGAGGTGCTCAGGGGCATCGCCTCTGAGACCCATGTGGTCCTCATCCTGAGGGGCCCTGAGGGTTTCACGACGCACCTGGAGACCACCTTCACCGGGGATGGGACCCCCAAGACCATCCGAGTAACACAACCCCTGAGCGCCCCCACCAAAGCTGTCGATCTGTCCCACCAACCACCGGCCAGCAAAGAGCAGCCAGTGGCGGTGGATGGGGCCGTGGGTCCTGGGAACGGGCCTCAGCATGCCCAAGACAGTGGGCAAGAAGCCAGCTTGCTCTCCCACGCCAACGGCCTGGCTCCCCGAACCCCAGGCCAGGCCCCTGCCAAGGAAAGGGCCAACGTCGATCTCCAGGGCAGCAGGGAGCACAACGCACTGCTCAGAGAGATAGAGCCTGTGCTGAGCCTCCTCACCAGTGGAGGCAACAGAGGGGCACCTGCCAAGGCAGAGACGCAAGACACTGGAGTCCAAGTGGACAGGTAAGCCCCACGGGTGTGCGTGTGCATGTGTATTCATACGCGAGTGTGTGCTGAGACCACCCCTAGAAGCCAGCCCACAAGCTTACACACATGCGCAGTCACACCCCCCATTACCTGAAAAGTCCCATCGCAGGAGGCGAAACAGACATAGATTCTAGGATGTATTAGATCTTGCCATGAACACAGAGTTAATTAGTCATCACGGAATGGGACGTTGTGTCTCCATCTTCATCCTTTATAACCCTCCGGGTCCCCCAGAATGTGGTAATGTTCATGACCCAGATTTCATGTGTGATGAGGCAGAGGCTGGGGTGGGGGTGTCCTGAGGTTACCCAGCAGGCTAGAGGCCCGAGTACACTGGGGCATGAGGCTCATGCCAAGGCTGTGAGAAGAGCAGACAAGCTGGGCTCCCGGCTGCATGCTCTCCCTCTACTGGCTTCCTCTCCGCACCTGGTTGAAGGAAAAGAAAGCTCCCAAGAAAGGGAGAAAGTAGCGAATTGATCCTGACCCCTCAAAACCGCAGTCTTGTGGGGTTTTGCGGGAGCTGAGGCTCGAAGCTACAGGGCTGGGTGCCAGCCGCTCTGCGTTAGCCCCATTGGAACTTTCTGGTTCTCAGGGAGAGTGGGCAGCTGGGCCGGGTGGTCAGAGAGCAGTGGAGTCAGGAGATGAGAGAGAGAAGTTCCTCTGCACCCCTTCCACTCTTGGCATGGATCAGGCAGTGACGCTCCAGCTCCCCGTACTGCCAAGCCAGGGCTGTACATACCCAGAGGGAGGCTCAGATCTGGGGCCACCCAGAAATTGGGGCCAACATTTCCCAGGCTCCGCCCTCAAAACCCCTTACTGTCCCCAGAGCATCTGGAGAGGGAGCTCCAGAAAGCCCTTGGGGGCCTGGATTAAAGTAGCTGCCCAGACCCTGCCTGACTCATTCAACAAATGCTTGTCAAGAACCTACCAAGGGCCATGCACTGCTCAGGCTCCAGAGGTGCAGTGGTCAACGCGTGAAATAAACTCACTGACCTTGGGGAGTTTGCACTATAGTCAAGATGACAAGCAACAGACAAAATAAATAATATACAGTATGTTAGGAGTATGTGCTGAGGAGATAAAACAGAGAGAGGGATCAGAGGCATTGAGGAGGGTAGAATTTTAAATAAGGGAGTTAGGGCCAGTCTCCCTAGGAAAGCCATATTTGAAGACCCGGAGAAAGATAGGGAATGTGGCAACTTTCTGGAGAAAGAGCATTCCAAGCATGGAAAGTATCCAGTGCAAAGGTCCTGGGGTAGGAGGAGTGTGGTTGGCTTGTTGAAGGAACCGCGTAGGATTCAGTTCTCTTCTGTGATGAGTCAACTCCAGAAGTACCCTACGATGGCCCTTAGTTTATAGTAGCCTGCTTCAGCCCACCATTGCATCCTAGGGTTTTTCTGGCTTCTTGCACATGGCAAGAACTGAGCCCATTCTAGCAAGATCACAGAGTGTGCCCTCCCCTCCGCAAGTGGGAGGACACAGGTTCTATCAGAGGCTCCTAGGCAGAGGAGGAACAAAGGTCTCTTGTGTGCTCTGAGCCCCTGCCCTCCAGCTCACTGCCTTGCCCTCTATAAACTCCTTGGGGACAAGCCGAGTGTCCTTGGCACCTTGAGAAGGGACACAGAGTCAGAAGGGGAACTTTCAGTGAGGCAGGTGCTTGTGGGGGGGTCTTGTGGCCCTGAGCATCCCTTCCCCATGTTGTCGGCCGGGATCAGGCTTTGGGTTGTTCTGATTGGCAAAAATTGGAGTCCTCGCCCACCTATGACTAGCACAGCCCTCCTAGGTCAGAGCCCCATCCCCAGGGGAAACTGCTACTTCTCAGGGTTCCTAGAGCAGTGTCCCCAGCAGAAATAGCCTGCGCAAGCCCTGCCTACCACCTAGCACCCACCAGGCTTCTGCAGTCTCTGCCAGTGGACTTCAGTCACTAGCAGCTGCAGGGTCTAGTGCTGAAGGCCAGGGCCTTGTTTGCCAGGAGGCGATGGAAAATGTCCCCAAGGGCTGCCCTGGGCAGTACCTCTGCCTGCCAGTCTGCTTCCACCCTCCCCAGAAATTTGCCTCTGCCTAGAAGTTCCAGAGCACACTGAGCTGTGACACTGTCATAGCTGCTAGGAGCAGAGCCCTTCCTCACGAGCACCTGACCCCCAACTCGGTCCAAAAGCAGCAGAAAGACCTGCTTTGGAGGCGATGAGATTTGGGAGGAAGTTGGTGAGCAGTTCCAAGAATGAGCGACATTTCATAATAAATAGCCGGGCTGGGGATTTAGCTCAGTGGCACTGCGCCTGCCTTGCAAGCACAAGGTCCTGAGTTCAATCCCTGGTACCAAAATAAATAAAATAATAATAATCAATAGCACCTATTCCCCTACCTCAATGGCTTATACCTGGGTTGGAATCAAAGCCCCTCTCTAAGTTAACAAATACTTCGCGATGCCCCCTTTAGTAACCGGAAGCTAACTGGAGGATAGTAGAACCTACCCACACTTGCTACTTTTCCCATCCATTTGATATCCTCACTATAACGTAGAAGAGACAGAGCACTCCCAAAGCGGAAGGGGTGGCCTGCCATTGAACCTCAGCCCTGTGGCCTGGCTCCAGCAGTAGTCAGCTCTTTGCAACCGAAACATAGAATTGCTGCAAGACAGAGGGCTTTGCACGCAGAAGGACATAGGTGTGTTGTTTTGGCAACTCAGACGCCGCCAGCAGTGTCGCCTTGGTGATGCAATTTTCTGGAATAGTGAACAGCTCCTGGTGAAACAGTGGGTCCATCCATCTTTCCTTGGTTTACCTGTTTCTGGCATGGTGTGCATGGAAAATTCAGGGTGTGTTAAAGAGGGAGCTGGAATCTCCACCCGCCCTTTTATCTGCTTGTAGGTCGGAAGGCTGTGTGGGCCTCAGGACCCTTGTTACTTCTGTGGGTTTGTCCTACATGCTCCATGTCACCTCCCTCCCTCTGCCCCAGGGTCACCGCCCCAGCACTGTAACCCCGAGTGCCCCCACCAACTGTCAAACTGCCTCCTAGGGGCTGAAATAGGGACTTCACCAAAATCAGTGTCGAGGACGGGGAGCCCAAAAACAAACATCCTTTGAAGTGACTTTGGGAAATCCACCCGGGCTCTGTTTGGCGTGAGGTCAGCTCAGGCAGCCTGGATGCTGGATGAACAGCAGCAGCCCGAGCCCCAGCTGGCCCGAGTAAGGACAGCTCCGAAGCCCGAGCCCACATCCAGGTGCCCCCAGACCCTCTGCTCTCCTGCTCTATCGCCCTCCTCTCCTCCTCCTCCCCCTTTTCCTCCTGGAAGCAGCCTCAGCCTCCTGCTCCATCTCTTCCTGTGCTTTGAAGGGGTACTTATTTGGGGGAGAAGTGATGGTTACCCTAGAAACAGTCCCCCCCTTCATCCTAGGATGATGGTGACCCCAAAGAGGGGTGAGGACGGCAGGCAGTTCATGCAGGGGCGTCCGGCTCCTTCTGCACTTGGAGCGGTCACTTTAAAACACCACGTGTCGGAGAATATCCAGGTTGCTCAGCTTGCTGGCCTGAAGGAGGGTTCTAAAGAGGCCAAGGCCCCCAGTCCAGCCTCCATCTGGACCGAGGTCAGCCTCGCCCTTCGTTCTCATAATCACTATTCACACGCAAGCATGAAAACACATACGCACACACTCGCAGGGCGCTCGGAAAGAGCCTTCTTTAAAGATCCTGCAAATTCTATGCCATAAGTAGGATGTGCGGTTGTAGCCCATTTTCCTAAATGAGGTAACTGAGGTTCAGAGAGGTGAAGCCATGTACCCAGGGTCACACAGCACTAGGTCCAGGGTGCTATCCTTGTTTTGCCTAGAACCCTCACAGTACATGTCTAGAGTAAAGGGCAAGCAGGCGATGGAATGGGACTAGAGGAACGGAAGTAAGTTTCAACCCTAAACAATCAGCTTGATTATGGGATTGGGGAAAGAGGCTCCTTTTGAGAGAAGCCTGAGCTTTATAATCTTTATTCTTATCAAGCTCTACTAAGCCCTCTGAGGAAGCCTGACCCCATGCTAAAGTCTTTATGTCAGCTAATTAGCTTTCTCCTCATGGTGCCTCATTGGTCTGGTGCAGAAACCAAGGCTCAGAGAGGTGCGGTCACTTGTCCCAGGTCACACAGCTAGCAAGCAGCAAAGCCAGGACTCAACCCCAAGCCCATGCTCTTGTCCTTGATGACTTATAAGGTTGGCTGTAGTGCGTATGTGGCTGCTGGCCTCCAGGTTCCTGATGATACTGGAATATTTTCTGAGTCTGAAAAGGCAATTGAGGCCCTGGAAAATATATAGTACCCTGGCTGCCAAAGAAAGGCAGACTGAGATCTCCAAGCACCAGCATCCTTCAGAACAAGAAGGAGGGCGTTCCTGGTCACAGAGGGTTCCCCCTACTGGCCCCAACCTTCTCTTTGGAGAAACCCAGCATTGTTGTTTTTGTCTGCGAGCCCGCTCCTGAACAGGGGGTAAGAAGCCGCCGAATCACCAGGAAGACTCCGGGGAGGTTTCTGGAATGCTTCCGTTTTAGTCAGCAAATGCACAGGCTTATATAGGGTAAATTGGGGGTGGAGCCAAGGTGGCGCTGTTGGATCGCTATTGGATAGGGTAAGGCAGGGGTGGAGTCGGGATATTTGGCCCATCGTTATTGGCCACATGTTAGTTTTAGGATTGTATGCTTCAGGGGCTGAGGCAATGGAGTCAGGACTTTAGAGGTCTTTGAGAGGAACGGTTTATCTGTCTAAGGTCAGATGTCTACACACCCGAGGGGGCGGATTATTCCAGCCCTAATAGACCTCAGAGTTTTCTCACGAAAGATGGGTGCGGTGCTCCTGACTCAGCCAGGCATGAACCTGATCCTCACAGCATCTGGGTCATCTGCAGCTCTTCAGGCCAGCCATGGATGGAAGTTATCTGGGGAGAGAAATTCAAGGGAAAGGAGACGTCATCAAAAGCCTCTCCTCCCTCTGGGTCGGTTCCGTCTACAGCTTGGGCCACCTGAGCCCCAGCCCCCAGCCCACCCCTTCCCTTCTGCACCAGGGATTGAACCCGGGGCCTCCTCACTGAGCTGCAACCCCAGCCCTTTTTATTTTTTATCTGGAGGCAGGGTCTTGCCACGTTGCTGAGCCACCCAGGCTAGGATGGTACTTGCCAACCTCCCACCTCTAAGTTTTTTTCATCTCTGAATCCCTAGCATTGAGTTCAAAGCTTGACCAAAGATCAGCCCTAAGGATGAAGGAGGGAGGAAGGAAGGTTTTCCGCTAGCAGGGCAGGAAGCTGGCTCTGTTTTCACTCGGCAGGACCAGGGCAGCTAGGACACGCCCATCACACTGCCCTCAGAATGACCCCCAGCGGTATCAACTGCAGCACCGCAGTCCCGAGGCCTCGTAGTTTGAATCACTCTGCTGCGGCATTTTTCAACCATGGAATTGAATCCAATTACTCAGCCTCCACCTTGCTGCGCTACGTGACTTTTCCTTCTCGCCTTGACCGCGCAGACGTGAGTGGCTTCCCCCTCCATGTGTGTCCCTGCTGGCTTGGCAGGTGGGCGCCTGGCCCTGCGTACTAGGGACTGCTATGCAAGCTGCAGACTCGCTACAAAAGGCGCATCACCAGGTATGATGGCGTACGCCTGTGATCATAGCTACTGGGGAGGCTGAGGCAAGAGGGCTGCAAGTTCAAAGCCAGCCTGGGCAACTTAGCAACTTAGCAAGACACTGTCTCAAAATAAAAGAGAAGAAGGGCTGGGTGTGTGACTCAGTGGTCGAGTACCTGCCTTGCCTGCACAAAACCCTGGATTTGATCCTCAGCACCAGAAATTTAAAGCTGCACATAACCAGACAGCTACTCACCATTTTCCATGCAGCAAGTAATTCTTAAGTGTCATTCTGCCCCCGCTGCTGTTCTCGGCCTCCTGGGTCCAGTGATAGACCTCAGCCCTCATACCAGAGACAAGAAATGAAGAATCACCAAATGCAGACCCTTGCAGTCCGTTTCAGTCGTGAGTCATGCTCCGCAGGAAATGGAACGGTGATGGAAAGAGGAAGGACTAGAGTTTGGGGAGGACTTTAGATCAAGAGCTCAGCAAGGCCAGAAGGTGCCAGCCACATAAAGTGCAGGGAGGGGACTCTTGGCAAAAGCCCTGAGGAGGGAACAAGGATGTTCAGGGGACTAAAAGAAGACTTTAGGGGCTGAGGGAAGTGAGCAGGGCAGTGAGGTCACACGTGGGTGACACCAGCAGTCATCCTCCCACCCCCGGCATCCTGCCCAGGTTCCTATAGCTGTGTAACAAATCACCCCAAACTCGACAGCTTCCAACAAGACACCAGATGCTCTCATACTTCAAGAGATCTTGAGTCTGAAGTGGGTCACGCTGTCCTGAAATCAAACCAGGGCACCAGTAGGGCTGCGTTTCTTTCTGGAGGCTCCAGAAGAGGATCCTTTCCCACCTTCCTCAGCTTCTAGAGCTGCATTCTTGGCATTCCATGGCTATGGCCCCTTCCTCCAGCTTCACAGCCAAAAGCATAGCATTTGCTCCTGTGGCTTCCCCATCCCCTTCCATGGTCAAATCGACTTCTGCCTCTTATAAGGACACATAATTACACTGGAGAACCCACCCAAGTAATCTGAGACAATCTCCACATCTCAAGATCTTGAACTTATGAAGACTAATTTTCCATACAAGATAACTGTCTCTTTTCTGTTGCTATAACAAAATACCCAAAGCTGAATGCTTTATAAAGAAAAGAGGTTTCTTTTGCTCCCACTTCTGAAAGTTCAAGTGTATGGTGGTGGCACTGGCTTAGATCTGCAAGGACTTCACAACAAATGACCACAGCATGTGCAAGAGGGAGGATCATATAGCTAGACAGGAAGCCAGGGAGAGGGGTGGGGCTGGCCATGCTCTTTTTATAACTCCGTTATGAGACCTAACTCAAGGTCCCATGAAAACTACCATAACCCCTGCCTAGGATGCTCTCTCTGATCTAGTGACCTCCCACCAGGCTCCGCCTCTTAAAGGGCCCACCACCTCTTAATGTCACTACTCTGAAGACCAAGCACCCACACAGGTTGCGTGGGGAAAACACACAATGCATATACAAACCATAACAGTAACATATACGTGTTCAAGGCGTGAAGGCCTGGTATCTTTGGGGCCATTACTCAGCACCCCGCGTTCGTCTAACCAGCCGTACTGAGCTGTACTGCCGCTGGGTTCTGCGCTGACCAATGGCTGTCCCTGTCCCCGTCACTGCGGCGTCTCATTGGCTGAGTCCAGGGACCCTGCTTCTGGCCCTCTCCCCTTTACCACTCACCAGCTAACTCAGCCCTCCCTGACCCTCTCGGCCCCAGCTTCCGCAGCTGAAAAAATGGGGTATGGATCCGATGAGCCCAAGATTCCTTCTAGCGCTGCCAGTCAGGCTTCTCGAGGAGGGTCAGAGGCGGCCTCCCTGACGGCAGGCTGAGCAGGCACCAGTCCGGCTCCCACTGAGCCGCTCCGACTTAGTGTACTACCCCGCCTGACCTCGTGGGGCATCCCGCCAAGCACAAGCAGCCTCTCGGGTCAGAGGGCACACGTGGGCGCACATGCAGGTCTCCAACTTTGATTTGTCACGCAGAATTTCCTGAAGAGCTGAATTTGTGATGAAAAAGAGGAATCCAGAAAACTCACATAAAAAACTGTTCTGTAGCCTCTGGAGAAAACAGATGCACAATAGTTGGTATTCACAGGGGACGGGTCCAGGGACCCTGCTTAGATACCCAAACCTGCAGCTGCTCAGGCCCCTTGTGTGAATGGCCTGTTTTCACTTACGCTACACGCATCCCGCTATGTGCTTTAAACCATCTCTAGGTTACCTGTGATTACCAGTGCATCATGAAGGCTATGTAAATAGTCATTATACTGCACAGCTTAGGACTAATGACAAGAAAAGGTCTGCAGATGTTTAGTATACACACCAGTTTGTTTGTTTGTTTCAAATATTTTCCACCTGCGATCAGCTGAATCCAGGGATGTGGAACCCCTGGGTGCCAAGGGGCAACTGTCCTGTGGCAGAGGCGCCTTTAACATATCGTGTCGCAAGCGCTGGGCCTGGCAGCCAGGGCTGGAAGGGGCTGGGCTGCCCAGTTCTGCATCCAAACTCAGCCCCAGCACCCATTTTCTGGGTCAGTCCGTCTTGCAGGCGCGAGTCTGAGGGTCTTGTCCAGCCTTGGGATGTTAGTAATGAAGAGTTAGTTATGATCATCACGGAGCCAAAGGGCCCGCGGCCTCCCTCTGGGCTGCAACATTCCCAGCAGAATTCCTCTTCTCAGAAGCATCCTTTCGACTTAGCAAGACCTTCCTCGGCTCACCTCCTTGAAAAGCTTCACAGAAACCTCAGATCTGGTCTCCACCGCCCTCAAGTGTCTCTGCTTTAACTGAGCCCAGCTCCCACTACTTCCGGACTCTGAACTCTGACCGTCCTGCCTTGGCTCTGAGGCTCCCGACACCGGTTTCCAGCATAGCGCCAAGTCTGAGGGAGGAGTGACTTCTTCAGGGCCTGGGGGCCCCTGAGATCCAGGTTGGCTGGGAGCCACTTAGACAAGGCAAATTCCTCCATCCCGTGTGGGCAGGTTCGAGGGACAACTGGGGGGAAAGAGAAGCCTGGGGTGAGGCTGCTCGGCCACGCCCTCCCCGGTGCCTGTCATCAGTGCCATTTTGCAAAGTCCACAGACATTTGGGCGTGTCGTGTACACGGGCCAGGGAGGTTTCTCAGCATCCTACAGTGCACGGGACAGGAGCCACTGCAAAGGATCCTCAGGCCCAAAATGTCAATCGTGCTGAGGCTGAGGAACTCTGCTCTGAACTGAGGCCCCTCGGGACAGCGGGGTGGGACCAGAACTTGTGAGCAGCAGCAGAAGAGTCTCCCTGTCCGGGCTTCTCAGAAGTGGGGCTTTGCATCCGCCTCCTTCTGTGGGTTCCCAGTATATCTTTCCAAACGGAAGACAGAGCGCTTACCAAAATTGCATTTACCAGCTGCACACATTCAATATCTAGACCTCATTTGTGGGAAGCAGCCAATATTTTAACTCAAGGTTCTTCCCCAGATCCAACCAAATAGCCCCCCAGAGCCCTGTTCACAGTGATTCTTAGCTAAGATGACAAGTGAGGAGAAGCCTCATTTTCAAGCTTCTTCTGCTGCCCAGTGGCTGTGCGACCTTTGACAAGTAACCTAATCTTTCTGGGCTCCCTCGTTTCCATAGTTGTAAATGAAGATCGATAACAGTTTATGTTGAATTAGTGCCAACTACCTGCTAGGCATTTTACATGCCTGACCTCATTTAGTCCCCAAGAAAGGCAGGATATCAAATAGGCATTGAAAGTTGGGCCTTGAAGGGTGAATAGGAGTTGGTTCTCAGCATAGAGAAGATGAAAGAGAGTCCGGGGAAGGGCAAGATGTGGATATGGTGTGTTCCTTGGGAGGAGAGGACAGTGAATCAGGGCTGGGAATGGTGAAAGGTGGAAGGGCAGAAGGGAAGCAGAGAATTCCTGAATTCACGGTCTCCATGAGGTAGATGGGACGGCTTCAAAGGAGTCTGAGTAGAGACGCGCCCCTCTTCCTCAGCTGGAAGCCACGCGTGCCTTCATTTCCCACTTTTCAGAGACATTAAGGCTCTGAGCTGCACTGCCCAAAATTGTAAGCACAAGCGCCTGTGGCTGTCTAATTTTAAATTGATTAAAGATAAGTCAAATTCTAAAAGTTCACTTGCTCAGTGACGACGGCCACGCGGGCCGCCTGTGGGTAACGGCCAACATCCTGAACAGCACAGACGCGCAATGTCCGTCATGGCAGAGTTCGGCGAGAGCATGGTCATCGCTGCTCGGTGTAGAACTGGAAATCCCTGTTTCCGTCTGATCCCAAAAAGCAAATCGGTAGTAAGAGTAGCAGGGACACAGGTTCCACCTCGCTGGGCAGTTGCAGTGTGCAAAGTCGCACAGGTGACCACTGGCGAAGCCAGGAGCTGACGTGGTTCCTTCCGTCTGCAGCCCGTATCCTTAATCGCCGTATGCTGCCAAGCATGCTGCACTGCTCACACAGAGCCATCGAGCCCCACATCCCGGGAGAGCAGGCTCGTGGCCTCCTGCCCTCTGTCTCCCTCTGTCTCCCTCTGACCTGGTTACTGCTGCCAGGTTGTGGGTCGGGGAATCTAACTAAATCTGCTTCTGATTTCGGAAGTGGGAGATGGAAGCAAAACAGCTCGATTTCGACATTCCCCATGGTCTCAGCTTAAAAATATCCTTCTGCTCATCACACACAACTCCAAAATAAGTTTGTGTTGGCTGAAACACCGAAAATGCATTTTTAAAACAAAGGTGTTTGTGGCTTTCACACAAAAAAATGAATGACGATAAAGGCAATGTACAAGTTCACGCACAACAGGTAAGCTCCTTTACCCATTTCGGAGCTGCCTGAGTAATTTACCCTGTGTTTTGGAAACCTCGTGCAAATGTTGGGTTTCTTGCTTTGTAGCCCCTGCCTTGAAATGGATGTCCTGGCTAGTTTTTTCCTCTCTGTATTTTTTTTCTTCTTTAATTAAAGAGGGGATCTGGCCTAACCCTCAGTCAGACCTAGTTCCCAATCTCAGCTCTACTCTGTGCTTTCTGTAGGACCTCGGGAAACTTTCATTCCTTCTCTAGGCCCAGTTTTCTCATCTGTAAAATAAGGCTTCCACAGTCTGCTGAGAGAAAGTGACATAACTTCAGTGCAAGTACCTGGTACGTGACCGATGTCCGAAGCACATTCACCTCCTCCCTTCTCCGTGGCGCCCTCGTTTCCGGCCACACAGTGTCATCAGATCAGGAGTTTCAGAGCTGAAAGTGACATTTGGTGCAGCCCTCTCTTCAGACAGTCCTGTTTAATCACTGCGCAGATAAACCACCAAGACAGGAAATGTCTAATCAAGAGCCACTCCGAGTATGATCTGGTGACATCTTAAAGAGGGCAAAAAAAAATGTTCCCTCTGATAAATGCAAACCTATCCAAGCAGAGAAGCAAACGTGGCTCTGATGTAGCTGCAGGGACTCCGCAGGCTGGGGACAGAGGAGTCCTCAAAGCTGAGAATGTGGAACAGAGGCTGGACCAGGGACAACTTCCATGCCTGAGACCAAAAGCATTATGAGCCACAGAGCAAGGTGTATTGCCTGGAGTTGGGCATGAGACGTCACAGAGTAAAATGGTTGGAAGGGTCAGAAGAGATGATCAAGCAAGCAGGTGGCACTCACAGGGTGGAGGGACAGAGGTGACACCAGGGTCATGAGCGTCTGGGTGTTGATGTCAAGTCTTGTGTCCATCTCAGAGATGGCCAGCCTGGGGGACCTGGCTGAGGTCAAGGACTGGAGCCAAGGTAGCTTAGTGGCTAAGAAGTTGGGCTCTGAAGTTGGGGACAACCCTGGCTTTGGATCCACCATCCTAGCTGTGTCTTAAGCTGAGGACTTGGCCTCCCTGAACCTCAGTACCCTCGTACAGTGGCAGTTGTGATGCTGGTGGTGGTGGTAGTGAAGACGTTGGTGGCAGCCATGTTAAAGTAGAGCGTGACCAAGGACCGTGACGATATTTGGCATTGGAGTTGGTGATGATGATGAAGATTATGACACAATGAGGTTGGCAGTGACGATAATGAGGGTGATTTTGATGGCGTGGGGGGGTAATGGTGATCCTTGGATAATAATGGCTCTGCCCTTGAGAAGGAAACATTGGTGGACTGGAATTTAGCTCAGTGGTGCCACCACCTGCCGTGCAAGCGCAAGGTCCTGAGTTCAATCCCCGGTACCAAAAAAGGAGAAGTGGGGGAGGGAAGGGGAAG